TGGTGAATGCCACAAATTCTCCTAAATCACTCGTACGCACAATTTAAGAACAAATCTGTGCGTACGAACGGTTCTTGCATGAGGCCCAATGTGTGCTGAGCCAGGCAATAAGGTCAATGAGAAGCTGAAAAATGAGCCTGTGTGTGCATTTGTTTGTGTTTACGGCACGTCCAGCAGGGGTTTTGGAGGAGATCATTCACAACTTGGACTACTGTGATGTCCTGGTATTGGGGGAGGAGCTGAACCCAGAACAAGAATCTCTCCAGCTACAGCAGATATTTCTGAAGGGAAAGCACCTGGACACCACCAACTCCACCTCGGGCATGTCCATATATGGTAAGTTAGAAACAGTAGCGCTACATCTTGTGCTTTATTAGTCTGGTTTAATGAACACAACACTGTGACACTGCCGTACCAACCCTCCACTCTTCTTGTCTGCAGGTGTTGACTCCATGTCACACTACGAACAGGTGATTCGACAGGTCCGTTACTACAACAGGCAGCCTGAACAGCTGACAGAAAGGAGGTTTCGCCTGACCTGCTCAGAGCTCAACGGGCGCTACACCAGCAATGAGTTCAATGTTGAGGTCAGTCAAACATTTTTTTTTTTTTGTTTTTATCTGGTCAACTTCATTAAAGACGCACCACTGGCCAATGCATTGTTTATTTTAAAGTGAAAATTAAGGCAACAGTTAATACAGTCAGGGTTGTGGTCTGTTTATTGGACACAGCACTGCTTGAATTAAATGCTGTCAAACCTGTGATCAACAGGTTGCTGGTTTGAATCCCCAGAACACAATAGAAAAAATGTTGGTGGGATAGGTGAAGCACCGACACCTGCTTCCACTCTGGAATCCTGAGCAAGGCTCTTAAACACCCCCCACCACCCACCAAGCAGTTTGCTGCTGACTTACACAATTCCAAGTTCAAAAGTTTTACAACAGTTCATGCAAACACTATTTCACAGACCTTCTACACAAGAGTCAATTGCAAAATAAACAATATTATTTACATTGTTATTATTATTTGTAAGCAGAGATCCAGCAACCTGCCACCTGATGTCACTTTTATGATATTTCTGCAAAAATAAACGTAATGTAAACTGATTTTAATGTAAATGATATTGTATTAAAAAACTGCAGTGGAAGATACAGCAGTTATTTTAAAATAACGTATCCTTAAAGTTTCAAACCTTTACATCAGTGATTCTTAACTGATGGATCATGACCCGATACTGAGTCAGGAGTCTTTGCTAAGAGGAAAAAATAGTTTTAAGAAAAAAAATTCTATGTTCTGATTGTTATTTCAGTCTAATGGTTATTGCTTGAATATATGACTGATTAGACTGTGTAATCTATAAATTCAGTGGGTGAGTATTGTGTTAGACTTACATATGTTGAGTCTTTTTGATACTCTCCAGCTGTAGCTGGAGTTTTTTAGTTTACATTTGAGCAGGAAAGTACTGTTTGTTATATCACTGTTGGAGCTGAATTACTGAAACTTTATGTTGATATGTCACTCCAGAGTATAGTGGTGTATTCACGCCTGACACATTTGATTCCCTTTAAATGGAGCAGAGTTCATTTCCCCTGTTGTTCGGGACCTTTTATGCAGGTGTGAATACACTCATGCAAACCCTAGTGCAGACCAAACAACTGGACCGAGACCTCCTTTTTGAGGTGGTCATGGTCCACTTCTAAACAAACTCTGAAGCGGTTCACTTCTGGTGTGACTACAGACTGGTCTTGACCCAAACCAACTAGGAAACATGCGTCTTATTGGACTTCATGAGCCACCATTGCTAAGCACCATGGTGAAAATTAGCCCTTCAGTGTTGCTAATGCTACCACTGTGCTACAAACAATGATCTAGGTCAGGGCATAAAGAGCATCTCGCCTTTTTGTGGCATGCACTTGCAGATACATCCCAAAATTCGAAGTAGCCTATATCATCACAAACCACAGCTGAATGTTCTGCTCTTGAAATTCTAAATGGTATTTCAGTTATTAACACCACCATCTTTATTTTTGTGTCTGTACTTTGTTCCTTCCCCTGTCATTTCTGTCCAATGGGAGCAATGATTGTCATCCATGTGATTTTGTAGAAAAATTATTCCACATGCAAAAAAGCACAATATGAATGCAAACTGCACCAAACCAAAACAGAACAAAAAATAAAGCCCGCTATTGGTCTGGACCAAACAAGTGGACCAAAGGATTTTCCTGGTGTGAATAGACCCTAACTCACAAAATTTTAAAAATGCATCATAAAGAGGAAAAAAATACATAAATCGGACTTAACTATGAGTCACTGAACCAGCTTCACAGTTTTGCTTCACACACAAAGATTTTGAAAGAAATATTTGAATATTCCTGCAAAAAGTCACCTCAATCTTCACCAAAAGTGCTACGGGTTGATGCTGCTGCTATTTGTGCTTTCAAATAATCATAGAATTACATGGTACCTTGGTAATACTGAATTGACAGCAGGGTAAAGACTGCAATTGACTGGTGACCTGTCAAGGGTGTACTTTATCTTATTCCCAATGACAGCTGGCACCAGCAGCCCGTAAACCTGAACTGTACTAAGTGGCTAGATGTAAATGGACTGTACTTATACAGCACCTTTTGAGCCAACCAGCTTACTCAAAGTGCACTCATTTACTCATTTACACACACACACACACACACACACACACACACACACACAC